ATTGATAGAATCCGACTTCTCCACATCAGTCATCAACCGGGAACATGATTAATGTTCGTTTGTTTACAGTTATTAGTAAAATCGTGGATTTAGGAGTACCGAGGCATCGCACTTCATGTTTGAAGGTATGGCTGGTCTGTTTATACCGAGCAACAGTAGTTAATTGCAACTTTTTTCAGTACTATAAACTAATGCAGTATGTTTAGACCTCATGAGGAATTTGAAATCTAGTAATTTCATGCAATCATTAGACTGTTAGCAATGTTACTGAAATTGGCATTTTTAATGTAAAATTGTTGTGTTATATTACATACTAAATTATATAATATTATGTTTTATCAAGTCAGACCTTATGCAAAGGCCTGTGTTTGTGCTACACAAATGTCCACGCATTCCATTTATAAACACACAAAAGATATAAATTATTCTCCATAATTGTGTTATTTTCAAAAGAAAGCCAACAATAAATACTAATTTCCTACTGAGAATGCACTAGCTAAATATATATTGGATGAGATTAATAGAAAAATATGCAATATTTCGTGCATTTTTTAAATTCCGAGAGAGGGAACATCTCGCAATATCCTTCTCAGTATTTTCCGCATTGATTTAATTTGTAATCACCACAAATATATTTTCTTAGCTCATATTTGTTTATGCTATCCATTATTTATTTATTATCTTATTTTACTTTATTTAACAGACGCTTTTTGTCCAAAGCGGCGTGGAAGCGAAGCAAATAGCGGATTACACACATACGGCAGTCGGCGAGTGAGGTTTTGCTACTTACAAATGCTTATAAACACATTCGATTACAAAATTTGGTTTCACTGCAAGTAAGATTTTGAAATAATGGGCAGCAGAGGTACTTAAAAACATAACATTTCGTGCTGAAAGTTGTTTTTAACATTAAATCTTTCGTATGTCCGGACTGCTGTTCAGTTCCCCCAAACATTTCAGCTACAAGCTTTCAGCTCTTCGCATTGATAGCCGATACAATGTGGGGAGCTAAAACAAACGGCGTATTACTACGTACTGTATACAGCAACTGTGCAGAGCAGAGCAGAGAAGACATGTACAGGCGGCTGATAACCTCTGGCGGCGGCAGAGTGAACTGATAGAGGGGAACTAGGCGTAAGCGCGCCACTCCAGTGTAAACACCGTATTTACCAGCCTTTGTGCGCTTTACTCCTTGAATGTCTTCTGATTCAAAAAAATAATAATAACCATTTTTATAATGTTTATGCCATTTGTTTTATCTGTGACTCGGTAATTTGACACACCTAAAGTACATTAAAATTAAATTAAAACTTCGTTAACATCCCTAACTCTAATACAGCCATAATTTGATTAAGATTTCAACTTGCATTTTATGTGAAGAGTTGACAACAAAGTTTGCTGAAATAAGATTCTGCTGAATTCGTAGATTACCTTTTTATTCAGCATACAACTCTGTCATACTAGTGCCGGATTTTTTAGAATTTCACAAACTTTATATTCACAATCCATTGCGGTTATGCTATGGACGGTATACGTGCTCTGTGTTATTTATGAAATTGGGTTTTGTGTATTTACCTATTTTTTCACGTTCCCGATATCCATAGCTTGTGTTTGTTACCCGGGATATTAAATGAGTTTAGATAGATAGATAGATAGATAGATAGATAGATAGATAGATAGATAGATAGATAGATAGATAATCACGGCTCTGCAGATTAACGTCTTTCTTCTACAAATTAAATTCCTCAGTTTCGGAAATCAATACGTAAATGTTACCCGTGTGTGTGAGAGAATTTCCCATGAAACAAATATTTTGTTCTCTTTGGATTTGACTCTGTATTTTGTAAAATTTCTCAACAAATTTTTACATATGTGTCGAAAGGTGCATGTTTAGTTAACAGTTCAGACAGATAATATTGATCGCATGGGTAAATATGTGTGTAACAGTAAACAATGCCGTCATCATGCGTCACAGTTCCAATTTTTAAAACCTTTTAGAAGAATGCCCTCAGCCTAACACTATGATCACGTAGTACGATAGCCCAATCTTCCACAAGTTATGAAGTTTGCCTAAAAGGAACAGCAACGACAATATCTAAAGTCAGAAATTAAAAAGCATCTCATGCTTTTATTAACATGAAATTTAGATACTAATGGCGAATCTGTCTTTGAGTCACTCTTTTAGAAATAGCCTAATAATAATGATCTCGACTACGTCGTCACTGGTGTGTTTTCTTTATCCGTGAAGTGCAATGTAGAAATATTAAGACGCCCTTATTCAAGCTCATGGTACAGATTAGGCAGTTAGTCCATAAGAAAGTCGTGTTAGCGCACACTTAAGAATCACAAGAAAGTACACAGTGATGCGATTCTCATTGGCAACCGTATCTGCATGCGTGCAGATGTAATTAAAATGCAAACTGAAAAGTGAATTTTGTTTTCAAAATTCAATTTAAGACTGGTCAACTCACCAAAACTAAAAATGCACTGGTATTTTTTATTCGTAGAAAACTACAATAATTAGAAGAGTCACTAAGAAAAAAAGATGTCCTGACAGAACTAGAATGAAGAGAGTCTATTTCATTCAATCGCACGGTCCCGGCTGGACGCATCACTGGGCCGTCATTTCAATAAGCCCTCATGCACTAGACGGTGACCTTGAACTGCCACGTGCAACTGAATCGTGGGCTCTGTCTAGTGAACGGTATTTTAAGCATGCTATGTGCTTAGGGGGTTTTCCAGTGTGTTTCTATAGGTATATATTAAATTACATACGTCTGCTTAATTTTAGTGAGAAGTTTCGAATCTCTGTCGGTGCTTCTTCTGTCTTCTAGGGTTGCTCCTTCGTCGATTTGAACGCCGTGTTGCATTAATTTTACCTAAAGGTAATTTAATAGTACAAATGATTCTGAAGAAATAAATAGATTTGCATGCCTTATTTTACATCCAAATGGTAGCTTGTACTTCTGTCTGTGATTGTACATACCATTTATAATGGACTTGTAAATTAATATGAGCGATCGACTATGGATATTTCTGGAACACTGTATAAGATCCTGTGATCCCACACCATTAGCCTGTCTTTATTGTTAGTCTGCATGGGAAGACAGACAGGCTGTTGGGCTAACTTTGCTAGCTGTATATTAGCTGATATTCCAGAAATTATTCAGTGAAAATCGTAATTCTCCATGTTGTTGCTTCACGGCTACACTATCTGCCTGGTAAGATCTAGAAAACAAAGATTCCCTTAAGATTTGCGGGCAGATATCATTAAAATGTACGGCGGATTCTTGGAATCTATTTTTAAAGTTAAGTTTAAAAAAAATGTACCACTGTGCTTACTTACGTTTTGCTTGTAACACCCAATTTATTCCTCCATACTAAACAGAAGGAAACTGAATAAAAAAAGCACAAGAGGATATAGCGTAAACAGTTCATAGTGAGTTTTTTAGATTCTAGATACCAGAAAATATCTTCTGTTACTCTCTTCTCTGGCAGTATCTAGTATTTTGTATTTTTCTGTACATCATTTACTGATATTGAAGTCTACTAATATGCGGGCAGTATACTGTAAAATAAAATTAATCAATATAAATAAACATATATGTTCATATTTATATTCTCCGTGTATATATATAAATTACATAAACAGCATCGATCAGAAAGTGTCGTAAGTGGTCAGCTTCACAAGTATGAAAGAAAATGGTTTCAATTCTAAAAAATATAATCGTTTCCATGTACGGGCGCTAACTGCACACGTGTCATATTCGCCGAGTTACTATATATGGGCCACAACATACATATTTTACATAAAATCTTCCTAGTTGGTCGTTGTCTGGGTGTTGGAGGCTACAAGTCTAATTTATTAAAATACTATGCATTTCGATTACTTTTAAATGGAAACATATGCAACAAAATTTACGTAACACATCGTGGAAAAGCAGTTGTAAAGTGTGGTTTTAACGTAAGGGTTAAATATTTTTCGCTGATTGCTTAACTTAAAAAAAAATCCTCATGCTTTATCAGGTTATTGATAAATTACACAATTATTTCATCTTCATTACGGTTGATTTACTAAGTGACATTAATGTCTAGTTTTCTTGGAATGGCATCAGCTACTTGAAGAATATTCAATAGGCTACTCGAAATATAGGCAGATAATTTGTTTCTTTGTTTAATATATTTACTTATTTCCTTAATATGTGGCCTATATACAATGTTACAATGATAATACGTAGACCTATATAATAACACATATGTTGCATGGAGTTTCACCCTGCTGGCGCTCCAAAGATACTGGTATAATTCATTTGAAATTATTAAAGGCTTTACAGAATGATTTCCAGTATATGACTGGGAATGTTTATTGGCGTATCTGTTAAAGTTGCTCCTATGAGGTATGAGCCAGTGTATTATTTGAAATACGCTGTTAAAATAACCTTAGCGAGCATCGCCCAACTTTACAGAGCCAGTGGTTTCAACCTGGTGACCCCCTTACTGTAAATATGTGTGAAGAGCGCTTGTGAGCATCACTCTTTGCTTAAAACAAGCCTGTAAAACAGAGGCATCACGGCTTTATGTGACACTGAATTCAACCATAATTTGCTCTAAAATACAATGTCAAAGGCACCCCGCCTTCTTACAAAATAAATATTTTTTTCTTGAGGATAAGTGTTTAAATACTATTTGCTGTCTATTGAAAGCATTACATGACGCTTGGGATAGTTTCAAGTATTTACAGACTTCGTTTTTGAAATCTGCACATTGGGGACGCAGATAATACCAAAACATGACGGGATTCTACATTTTAATAAAATATTTTATAGTATTTTAAAAGCATATAAAACCCGTAATACAGAAGTTAATGTTTTGTTTTGTCTGCAAAAAACCTAGTGGGTGGTGCCTACGCGCGTAAATTAGCCCAATCACGTGACGTGATGGCGGCCAATGAGCTGCAGCCCTAGCTTTAACTACGTTAAATGTCAGATTGCAATAAACTAGAAGCTGTTGGTCGGGCCCGCGGAAATGGGCGAGCATAATCTTCTTAATCCTGGTTTTGTGGGACCGTTGGTAAACATCCACACTGGAGACACCTTCTACTTTCCAAATTTTAGAGCATCCGGGGGACAGCTGGCGGGGCTACCCTCTCTCTCCTATCCGAGAAGGGACAATGTGTGCGCTCTCCCGTGGAACCCATCGGAGTCGTGCAATGGATACCCTCAGTCCTACTTTGGTAGCCCAGTGTCCATTAACCCTTCCTTCAACCGATCATGTGAAATCACCCGGCCAGATGAAGGAAAATGCTATTATAACAACGGTAGTGGGAACAGGGAAAGTTGTTCCGAGGGCGCTGGTTTGAAAAGAGAGGACAGGTCAAGGGACAGTTCCTCATTAGCGTCTGAGCACGGACTGCACAATGGCATGAGCAACAGTGGTGCTTTTTCTAAATATGATTATGGGACTGAGCAGCTAACCCAAGACCCACCGTCCTGTCAATCCCTTGAATCCGATTCAAGCTCGTCGCTGCTCACTGAAGGAGGAAAGACCTCTGGCAGCGACCCACAGACGCTGACTTCGCCGGTAGATCATGCGAACAGTATGGCAGCGGGCGGAGGTGAGACGCTTGCAAGCTCGGTAACACTAGGTTCCTTTTACACACGATTATACCGTTGTTACAGAATTCATATATTTTGTTAAAATGTAACGTTGATTTGTCACAGTTATCGAACCAGTACATTTTGTCTTAACTGCTGTCGGCTTGCTTGGTGAAGAAACGCCGCTAGGGGTTGCACTTAAAATGCTTCCCACATTCAGGAATTTACATTCAGTCTTTTAAACAACTAGTAAAAACAACACTATAAAATTCGATATTTGCCATCGAATGCACGTATTTTAAGCACAATTACCTTAACATAGTTTGTCTCTTGCGATTCATATAAATGTAGATGTAGCCTATTTATATATAGCAAAAAGCACAGCGCTTTTGATTGTGGAGATAAATTAGTTCAGGGGTATTTAACGCTCAGCTGTGCTTGCCTAAGTAGAGTAGCGAGGTTTTTGTTTTTGTTTTAATGACTCGTAAACAGAATTAATATCTCTTCTTTGTTCATTTCAAAGCCGTTTAATATGCCCCCAAAACGGCAACTAAGCCGTGGAGTTTGCAAGCGAGACTTCATTATCGCGTTAATGTACATTTAACAACGACAGTAAAACCTTAGCGTGACAGATACTGTAAATTATTCAATCTGAATAACGAGTCGAATTTTCCATTTCGATTTACATTTTCTATAGTTATGTGCTTATTTTATGTTGTAAACAAAATCCGTTAGAATCCGTAAAATTCAAAATCAAGTTCAAAGACATAGGGCTGCACATTTGTTTGAGTCTGTGTGGGGTGCTTCAGACCGTATTCACAGACATTAACGCAGAGACTTCTGAAGATGCTTCGTGTGGGCTTCACTAATTCATATCACCTAATCAGGCACTTACATTTCCTCTGCAGGTACTCCGTGGTATCCGATGCACACCCGGACCCGCAAGAAACGTAAACCTTACTCCAAACTGCAGCTGGCTGAGCTGGAGGGCGAGTTCATGCTAAACGAGTTCATCACAAGGCAGCGGCGTAGGGAGCTGTCCGACCGGCTGAACCTCAGTGACCAACAAGTTAAAATCTGGTTTCAGAACCGGCGAATGAAAAAGAAAAGACTGTTACTGAGAGAGCAAGCTCTGTCATTCTTTTAGAATACACCTTACTCAGCATTTAATCATATATCGGGACACCAATCCATTTTTGATTTACGACACTTAGAATTCTGTTTGGTTTCTTTATTGGAAAGCTTACACTATTTTCATGGATATATCAGTGTCTGTTTTGCTATGATTTTTTGTTAGTATGGTTTGCCGAAAACAATATATTTGCGACTAGAGGCATAGGCGACTGCTCTGACACAATCTGAGTTAAAATGCCAGAGTACAAAATGCTTCCACACTTCCATAATCATGAATTAGATTATTGCTAGTTCTATTGTCAATACAACCATGATTCGCCGTAAGAATGGCGTTTCCCATTTATTTATGTCCATAAAAGCCATCACTCTCGATATTTCTGAAAAATGCTTTGTAAACGCAAATGAAGCAGCTTCAGAAAATGGGATTAATGACGGGAGAAGTAGATAAAATAAGTAACGAGGGAAGAAAATGCTTTCTTTTTATCGGTCTGTACGAAGGAAGATCATTTGCAGTGATTTTCAATTCCAACACAAAAGTTGGAGCAGAGAGACACAGGGAAGTACAATAAAACGCTTGTATCCACGCCACAATTAGCACCACGTGCTATGGGGATGTTCATGGTCAAGGACAGGATGAGTGCGCTCCAGCTCTCTGACTCACTAATTCAGCAAGACTCAGAACCCCAAACCCGACATTTTATTGGCCTGTATGTTATATAAACACGCTTCTGTAAACTTTTGAAAACAGGCAATGTAGGTAAGATACGCTTGATCGCCCTCGAAGTTTTCAACTGAGATTTAGATATTGGGCGAAGGAGTAGAATGGTGTCCATGTTCAGTATTCAAGTTCAGTATTAACTCTGAGTCCGAGTCCCCCCCCCCCCGTAACTTGTAATGGAATGTTGCAGTTGTAAGAAAATACTTTTCTCGTTCGTCTGTCTGCTGCCCACACGTGTAATTTTGCCCTAGTTTAATTACGTAGAAATATAAAATAACCTGTTGTACAATACGCGTCAATCAAACGTTTGTGGCGTGAAACAGAAATCTGAATTGGGTAAAATAACAATTAACATGTACTAGCCTCCAATGAAACGTAACTGATAACTGCATTTAATAATTGCTAAATATTCAATTATGCGAAAGGTCACTCTGACACCAGGGTGGTTCTTAAATCGCATCGCTTTTAATATAACGCATGCAAAGTCTAATATTCTACGAGTTTTATAATAAATCCAAAATATCTGTTACTCTCAATTGCATCTTATATAGTGTTAAATATACAGACGTTTTTAACGAAACTTGTCGGTTATTTTAATGAACTGTGTTCTTCATTTACATTCTTTTTTGATTAACTATTCCGTAAATGTGATTGCATTAAAATGTATATCGTCTGTTCTGAATTTCTACATGCAATTTTTTTAATGGTATGTTCTACGTGACAAGTGGATAGCGCTAATTTCTGATTTTTTCCAGTATATATATCTGTGTCTCCAAGAATCCTTATAGCAATGTATCTTGTGTATTCTGTTGTAAAGGTATGAACAATTATAAACACACACCCATGCACATATTCATTAATGTACATATCTTGTTGACCACCTTATAAATAAACTCTTCAACGACAATTTAATTAATTTAAATTAATATTTTATAATTATATTTCTACTGCTGCTACTACAGTAATATATTGACAGTTAAGTTGGGTAGACGTGAAATTTAATTACATTTGTTCATTGAGGCTCTAAATATGCATGCTTGTGCTACTGTGTAAATAAAACCGTGGTTTTCCACATAGTCCGTGTTTTAAAAGTGTGAGCCTGTATAGTACAGAAAAGAAGGTATTCATTTCAATTTCAAACTCAAAAGGTTTATTGTCATTAGTACAACTGCTGCGTACAATGAGATTCTCACTCGCGTGCTGCCTACAGTAATAAACAGGGTAAAAAGACATGGGACAAACAGTAACAGGACACAGGATAGAACTTGGTAAAGTAAAAGCAAGAGGAAATATGAATATCTAATTTATGTTGTTATGTTATTTCATCTTTAAGAGCAAATCCTCAGAAAAAAATTACCCCTCCGGTACAATTTGGATTATTTTCATGTAAAACATGTTTCTGAAATGGAGGTGTTATCTACCAATGGCCCTATAGATAGGGAATGTCATATATTATGGGATTCTAACGAAAAATATTGCAATGATTTGTGCATAACTTTCGGTGTAAGAATATATTTACAGCGGTGCGTAAGTGAGGCATTCGTAAACTGGTAGAAGTGGTCACTCAATTAATGTGTCTTACTATTAGGATTTAGGATTTGCCGATGAAGAAAACCGCATTTTCTGGTCTGAGGATACGTTTTGAATATAAGTGGTCTCCATTTTACGATTCACTTCAATTATTTTTCTTGTTAAGTCCTTCAATTATCCAAACCGCCTGTTATTCAGTACAGCTAAATTGCTACAAGTGTTTTGAGATTGGATATGACAGATATGAACACGCTGTCGTTTATTTGGTTCTGTGAACAAGGGCTGACCGCAACCTAGGGCGACTTTGCCCATCGATGATTAGAACGTGACTGGATAGAAGTACGAAAATCATTTTGATCGGTCTATTTATGTCGAAAGCTAATGCGCTCAAACAAGTTAAGGCGCACAACAACAACACCCCATGTAACTGAAAAATATGTAGCCTACCGTCTGCCGTCCACACAGTTTGCTTAATTTGATCAATTTCCATGTACTGTAATTATTGCACTTCCTCTCCAGATACCACATCTTACAGTAGCTGGCGAAAAACATGGTTTATGGGTAAATGCTCAGCTGTTGTGTTATAAACGGTTATCACCGTACCACTATTACTGACAATTAATTGACAATGTCTTCATTCTTGAAATCATCATTACGTCACTCACGCCATTTGCAGGGTCATATCAATAAATATGTCTGAAATTTGTCACAAGACAAATGAAAAATGTCTTTCCTATGTTTCTCGGTTGGTTGTTTCCCAACATTTTCTAAAACATTCTAATAATTTTTTTCTCAGCTTTTTAAAAATTTAATTATTGAAGATAGTACTTTTCGAGTGTATAAAATTTCCTTTAGATGTTATTCTAGTTTTAGAAACATATTTCTAACAACATTTCCATTAATTGTCTGACTTTTTATCGAACTTGGTCCGGATGAAATTGGTAAAACTTTAGGGCCCTAATCATTAACATGTCTTGACACAACAAGCCAGTTAAACGTGTGACATGTTTCAAAATAAAAGACCAAATCATATAATATCTGTAATATACAACAAGAGAGCATCACTAAATATATGAAATTATTTTGCTGTAAGAGTTTTCCATATAGAATGAGGTTGATATTGGTGTAATATGTATACATTTTGTATGGTGTTGTCACGTCTCTTTAAGGTTATTAATTTTTTACTTTTTGAGTTGTCGTAACTACAGCACGAAGATGAAAAGTTCCAAAATGTAATAATTAAGAAGGGGATTTAAATCATTTGTCGGAATACAGTATCAGTAGCTCTATGGCCTATTATTTTTTATATAAATGTAAAAATTTAACGATACTGTATTAACAGTTGAGCTGCTAGCTCTTTTCTGGTATAATATCATTCCCGTATATCATTATCATTGTCATTTTCTGTTTTAATTTTGTAATGTTTTTAAAGTTATTATATACATTTTAAGTGAAAATTTTCGATAGAAACAAATGAGTTACACAGAAGCGCCAGTCTTTATTGTTCAGTGGACTTGCGCAAACCTCTCGCAAAATACTTTTACTTACAAAGATATTTCGCAAATATGCTGATTTCTGCATATGTTATATTATATTATAAAACAGCTGGGTAACATTTCGGAGTGAACTAAAATAAAATATTTCAAATCGTATATCAATATCATATGCGTGTTTCTCCTAAGTATTCATTAAAACAAATTCCGCATGTATATAACTATGCAAATGTATATAACACACACGCACGCATGCACACACACACATACCACACAGACACAGACACACACACACACACACACACACACACACCATACACTAATGGATACGAGTAGCCAGAGAATCTCTGAGAACTTTTCATAAAATCGGATACAAACATGCTATAAGGAAAGTTTTTAAGCGCTGCATATGAGACTTTGAGACAGTAGCGCTGCGTTTATTGCGCTTGTCGCTGTCGCACAAATGTCAGCCAGCTGCAGTCTGTGCTGCGCGCGGACCTTGTGGTGTGCTGGGCCATTGGTCATCATGCACCACAGCAGCAATTTGTGGCACAGAGCAGGGAAATAGGAATACTGCACTGTATGTTATTTTGACATTCCAGGGAGGCAAATACAGCTTTAAATTAGCGAGTAGCTTGTTACAGCTGATTTGGGGTACCGGAAGACGGCTTGCAGGGTTGCCCTATGTATTATCTACTGACATAAAGTGGAAAATGCAGATTTGGCACTGACAACATATAATTGCTTTTCTGCATTACGTTGTCAAACATGTGTGCACCTGTTCCAACAATTCAGCTTTAGATTTTTAGAAAAAATATTATATTTATTAAGCTACTCACGTGTACCTACAGCTGTGTGTTAAGCATGAGCAAATCATGCATGAAACAAGATGTGAAGCGGGAAGCGCGGATGCACATTATATTAAGGCTGAACTGGACGGTAATTGCACTACGTATGAAGGTGATTAATTACTCGATCGTTTCGACAATCATGTAGGATGTTTCTCGATTTTCGAAGGTCCACTTTGTCTGTCCTCTCGTGTCTGTGTGCATTCGGTAATTTCATCCACACGGACACCTTTTAGCGCTTACACGCTGTTTATTTCCGGTATATAATGGTGTATGCTACAAATAGTATGTTCTCTTTTTATTTGTATTGTATTAAATCTTTATATTCAAGTTATAGGTGCACTCCAGGTATGAATAACCTACTCAGACGTTTACAATATTATTCAATAAAATAACCAAACTTTAGGTCAAGAATATTTTTCTATTATATAAGTTGAACTGTAACAAAATAATAATTAATTCACAAGCTCCACGCTGCTTCTAGTATTTTTCCATAGATATTGAGTAACCCACGCAATTACAGCGAATTTTTAAATCCGTCTTATACTATCAATATATAAACATAATCGATGCCAAAATTAATATTATTTACACATACAAATTTTGTAAGTTTTATGTGAATTATAAGCATATAACAGAATAATATTGATTGTGGTAATGGATAATATTTTACTTCCAACGTCGCCTGACGCAGCATTTCGCTATGTACAAAACAGTCCAGCAAACGTAGCAGACATAAAGTCGGCAGAGTTGAACTTCACGTTTTCTGCAAAGGTATTAACCGTGAAGTCGTCAAAAAATGCTATTAGGGGCTAAAGTAAAAAGTGAAATTGTGTATTGATTTCAACTAATACATGCAATACTCACGACGCGACAGACTGACCTCCTGTAACACCCCTTCAGTAGTATATACGTGGTGTTGATTTCTATTTCATTTTTGCACAGTTTGTACATTTTGCTTAAACGCCATGTAGCCTGTTTGGGTTTGGAGCCGCAGGGTTAGTATACATAATGCAAAAGAAAACGGCAGTACAATCTGGAAGGACTGGAAACGAATTGTAAACAAAACATACATAAAATATACACAGAAACGGGACGAATCTTTCGGCTTGACACTAGGCGAATTGCTTCATATTTGTATAGCATCTTCTACGACACACATTTCTGTATGTATTTCGTACTTGACTATTTTATTTTAAATTATACAAGAATATTTCGCATACTCTTTGTTAAGACTGAGAAGGAGCCGCCCTGCGTAAACCCCAACCCCCCAGCCCAGTTTGCTACTGTCTGTGTGGGCGGGAACAGCATACAAATTGAAGGTCAAGTTAGTACGTAGACTGCCCCGTATATGGCGTCTAGTAGGCCCAATGTCGACGGAACTACAGAAAGCCATTGTCGTTTTCATTGAAAGATTAAAAAAAAGCATTTAAAATTGCGCTTAATCGGCATAGAATACAGTAATGGTTTCTCGAGAACTATTATTGGAATTATTTGTCTATATGTTTTTTTCAAAGAATTAATGCGGCTTTGTGGTGGTGTTGGTTGGTTGGCTAGTTTAATGCACCACAGAATTAACAAATGCCTTTCGTTATAATAACATATCTAATATTAGCGTAGCGATAGGCTGTGGAGACTTCAAAACCCTCCAACACCTAAAATACGATCGTGCCTCGAGGTGCAGAGAAAATAAAAGAACCTATAGACAGAGCGCCTCGAGCAAACCGAATTCCTTAGTGCGACAGAGTCCTATGGGAAACAAAGGACATTTGGTAAGGACTGACCATATTATTCCATATGATATAATTGTTTACGCTAATATACAGATTATAGGGTAACACTGCCTCGATTCACTGTTTTTGTGCATTTAAAGGCCTGGTATTTATCAAACATGCCGAAGACGGCGTATGCGTCAGTGGCACTTACGTAGCGCCACGTATTTAAACTACGAGCTTCAAGTTGTGTCCTGAAAAGGTCGCTGCTGCCTTCTAAGACATTTTTCGTCATTCGTGCTTGGAACCATCATTTCACTCTTCCGCTTCAATAACCGTTTTATCAGCTGATCTTATGGTAATCTTGATTCCTGAATTCCTGATCCTGTTCCCGGAGTTAAAGGAACAACCTAATCGGGACTCCAATGCATTGCTTTGCGCACGTCATAACAATTAGAAAACATCCCGAAACAACTTGAAAAACTGATATTTTCTTTTATTATTTATTTTTCAGCATTTAAGTTTTTTAAAATATCTTTCACATTATTTCATTATTTCGTTTTGTTGTTAACGTTATATTCGAAAAGAGAAATTAAGCGCCCCTATATGCACATCTGAGACACTTGTAAATACTATGAATTTACTCTGCACTCAGTTTCTGCATTGTCTTAATACATTCTGATATATGGCTTTACGCATATGCAAAAGACTACCGTCGGACGACTGCTTTAGTAGATACTGGAAAAAGTAAGAAAACAGAAAACTGAAACGAGCGCAGAGCAGTTGTCTATATATGTCTTACTGTACTGCTATACTGTTTCATCAATACAAACTTGAAAATTAATTATAAAGGCGTCAGTGTACGTAAGTTTTTATGTGTATCAAATAAAAATGCTGCTGATCTTGTTGGATTTACAAGAAAACTCAGTTCATAAACTTAAGCTGTGCGATAATTCAGGCTTTGGACTAGTATAGTTTTGTAGTGGATAATGCATCTGTTCTTGGTATATATTGGGTTATACTTGGTATATATTGGGTATTCTTTCCTAGTTTCACAGGCATAATAAAGATGACTTGCTGCTGAAAGGATAGGAAATTAATAAAAAATAAATAAAACATACTTGAATTTGGTAAACTGTTTTGATTAAACAACCGTTTGTTTCATGCATTTTGGTTTATTCTGTATATATGTATAAATGTATATTATATATATGTGTGTGTGTGTGTGTGTGTGCGCGCGCGCGCCCGCTTTGCCAGTTAATCAAAGATATTAAGCAATAAAATAACATACTAACTTAAGAGCGACAATTAATGTAAAATAAAGAACAGTCCGTACAAAAAACATTGCTGTCGCTCCTTCCAGCTGTTTAGTTTTATACGCTGCGTTGGTTTTGCAATCGAAGTACGTTTAAAATTTGCTTTAGGACTTGGAAGTACATCACAGAATGTTCAGGTATTAGGTATATATCAGGTATAGAATTCATGAATACACAGAGAAACATGTTAACTTCTGTTAAAACCAGAAAGATTCCTCAATTTTTGGTATTACTAATCGCTCAAAACGCGCAGCGTGTTACAAACTCAACCTGCTAAAATCGTTTCGGTCTAATCAATCTGCTAAGTTCTCCATCTGAATCTTGTTATTTATCCCAGG